AGCTTTTAAAGCCAAAGCCTAGGGTAGTCTCAATAAAAGACAAAGCACCGAGTCTCAGAATTTACATATATCTTCATCCACCTTTTGGCTAAATCCAAGAGAACTGTAGGGGTAATGGGGTGCAGAGGTTGTTGAGACTCAGTGTAATTAAAGCGCACTCCGAGTCAAAACATTTTTGGATGGCCATACACTGATGGTTTCTTTCAGTCAGTCTGCAGGTTTTGTGCAGCCTACATGTAGGCAGGTAGCATTCTGCTAAGGAGTTGATCCTCTTCCAGCTGGAGTTTTGATATGGGGTGACATGGGGTGCCCCTTTATAAAGTGGGAGGTGCTTGAAGAAAATGGGGAACTGACTAGATCCGTAGAAGAGGGGTTCTTGGCATGCTCACCCCTTTGGACTTTGGAAGACACTGCCCTTACCTAATGGGAATTGGAGTATGGACTTAGTATGGATTGTGAATACCCCATTGCTCCCTCACAGTTACAGTATTTTAGATACAGTGATTTGGCTAACTGTGTTAAGCTGCCATTATCTGGAAACATTATTGCCATGATTTGGGACTTTGTATTACTTTGGGAATGGACTTTTCTGGGAAAGTTGTGATCAGTAAAATAAGTTTAGCTGCAATAGAGAGCCTTTCCATGATATTCTAATAGAGTAATGAAAGATGGTATATAGAATACTGCCAATGGCTGGGAAAAGAAGATGTATTATACTGGTGCAAGCCTTGTTGACTCTGGTGTGGAAGGCGATTTAGGAAAAAGAGTCCCCCACGTGAGGCTGGGAGAAATCTCCCTCATGTAGCATGTGAGAGTACTGCAGACTAGAAGGGGTTAAGGTGTACAGTGACCAGGAGAATGTGGAGGAGAGGTCTAAGACCAGCATCCATGCATGTGAACAGTATGTGGTTTGGGCTAAACACAAGCAAGACACCCTGAGACCCTGTGTGTACACATGGGACTCAGCTGCATGTGTCCATCATGTGGAATGAAGCTGAGGACTCTCTTTACATACAGATTCCTCCATCCATGCTATACAGTGCAGATGGACTAACCTCCATCTATGGTTATTGTATTTTAACAGCCTCATGGGAGGCAGCCAACAGGACCACCAACTGAGCAAAGTTCATCTGGTTCCCCCAGAACAGGCCAAACGTTGTACAGTGTATGACTAAGCAATGCTCTGTATAGAGTGAGGGAGGCTTTGTACTTATCAGTGTTTTCTGCTATCTGGAATCCATTAGAGAGATTTATCCTCATTTCCTGTCCTGTTGACAACACAGGAGGTAAGAGAAACTTTCCAGTAGCAACAGACAGGAATTAAAAAAGCATTTTTAATAGTGGAAGGTTACATTCCCAATTATGTGAGGTCCACACAGGCAGCAAAGGGGTAGTGAAAACAGCTGATGTTTTTGCTGTCTCCCCCAACTACCTATCCACTGATTAACATGACAGCGGCTCAGTTTGGTACACATTGCAACAGCTGTTTTACTTCGTGGTACAGCAAGTTTAACTCAGCATATTGGGTTTGGAAAGTGGTGCTACTTGTCAAATGTGCTCATTGAGGTCAATAAGACTGTGTTGAAACTGACTGATATGGGGTGCCCCTTTACAAAATGGAAGGTGTTTGAAGAAAGAGGGGAACTGACTGGCTCCGTAGGAAGAAGCAAGGTTCTTGGCATGCTCTCCCTTTGGACTTTGGAGGGCACTGCCCTTACCTAATGGGAATTGGAGTATGGGTTGTGAATACCCCGTTGCTCGCTCACAGTTATATCAGATACAATGATTTGACTTACTGACGTCTGTTAAGCTGCCATTGTCTGGAAACATTATTGCCATGATTTGGGACTTTGTATTACTATTGGAATGGACTATTCTGGGAAAGCTTTGATCAGTAAAAGAGGTTTAGCTGCAGCAGAGAGCCTTTCCATGATATTCTAATAAGATGGTATATGGAGTACTGCCAATGCCTGGGGAAACGAATATGTATTCTACTTGTGCAAGCCTTGTTAGCTTTGGAGTGGGAGGTGATTTAGGAAAAAGAGTCCCCCACCTGAGGCTGATAGAAATCTTCATCATGTAGCATGCATCTGTTTGCCCAGTCTCATGGTCCATGGGTGGTTGGTTGGGCTTCTGGAGTTTCTACCTGGAAAAAGAACATGATGTGACACATAGGCCTATGTGAGAGTACTGCAGACTAGAGGGGGTAAAGGTGTACACTGACCAGGAGGATGTGGAGGAGAGGTCTAAGACCAGCATGCGTGCATGTGAACAATATGTAGCTTGGGCTGAACACAAGCAAGACATCCTGAGACCCTGTGTGTACACATGGGACCCAGCTGCATGTGTCCACCATGTGAAATGAAGCTGAGGACCCTCCTTTCATACAGATTCCTCCATCCATGCTATACAGTGCAGATGGACCAGACTCAATCTATGGCTTTTGTATTTTAACAGCCCCATGGGAGGCAGCTGACAAGGCCACCAACTGAGCAAAGTTAATCTGGTTCCTCCAGAACAGGCCAAACTTCGTAGAGGTATGTTCTGTGTAGAGTGAGGAAGGCTTTGTACTTATCAGTTTTTTTCTCCTATCTTGGATCTATTAGAGAGATTTATCCTCACCTCCTGTCTTGTTGACAACACAGGAGGTAGAAGAAACTCTCCAACTGCAATAGACCGAAATTAAAAAAGCATTTTTAATAGTAGAAAGTTAAATCCTCAGGTATGTGACATTCACACAAGCAGCAAAGGGATAGTAAAAAAAGTTGGTTGATGTTTTTGCTGTCCACAACAACCACCTACCTACCAATTAACATGACAGTTGCTCAGTTTGGTACACATTGCAGCAGCTGTTTTACTTCATGGTGCAGCAAGTTTAACTTAGCATGTTGGGTTTGGCAGGTGGTGTTACTTGTCAAATGTGCTCATTGAGGTCAATAGGACTGTGCTGAAACTGATTGCCAAACGGTTGGCAAGCAGTTGTGGCATGGTATTTCAATGTAGAATCAGCCATGAGATTGGAAAAAAAAATCAGGCGTTCAGGAGTGGGTAGTATAATCTCCTGAGCACCTACAAACTGCTGCTCAACTGACCGATTGTTTTTCAGAGGCATGATAAAGTCCGCCACCCATGTGAAAGAGGTCATACATTTTATTATTGCCAGCTGGATAGAAATGGGACATTTCTCTAACAGTGCTTCAGATAGCAGTAAAAACCTGACAAGGGTTTACATCCTTCTCCACTCTATTGTAAAGGATACAATAAAGGATATATCCAGATGCCCAAGTCTTACTAGTAAGACCTACAAGGTTCTTATGAGTATACACTGGTCTGTATGGACATGTTTTCTGAATGGCCAGTGGCAAATGCTACTGCAAAGGCCACAGTATAGAGTGTTATCCGTAGTTTGTAAGTACAGAGCCCCAGAAGCTAAACAGAATAACAGAGGAACTCATTCTATAGGAGAGTTCTTACAAGAAGATGGAGGTTTTATTTTACGCCCCCTGCCGTCCACAAAGTAGTGGAAGAAATTTGAGTGCCTAAGGGAAATGGCAGAAACTAGAAAACTATGGCCTGAATGTCTTCATATTTTTTAATCCCCTAAGGGGATATATGAACTTTTCCATATGAGATTTTGTTTGGAAGTGTGTTGCTCACTTACTTATATCTTTCTCAGCAGCTGAAGTCCTTCACTCAGACCTCACAGAGAATGTTGCTGCTCTCTTAAGGTTTTTGAAAAAACTAATTTATGTGTTTTCTCTCCAGATTCCAGATCCTAACAATTTGGAAGGATCTCATGAAGTAAAGCTAGGTGACTTATAGATTGTTAATAGACATTTATACTGTATAGGAAATGGTTGGAGACACAATACAGCATCTATTTCATGTATAGTTTACAAAACCTGAAGGAAAATCACCTGGATCCACAGCAGACACTGCAAAAATGACTAAATGAAAGTATCTCTGTGTTTAAAGTGTTACTAAACCCACAACAGTAAAATCAGTCTGTATAAGCTGTAAAGCCTTCTTGTTATACTCACCATGGAACCTAAGGGGTTAATCCTCTGCATTGTGTAAAAACGCTGACTTCTCTGATCCTCCCCTTCTTCCAGTGTCCCCCTTTTATCTCCTGATAAGACATATCGTGTGGAGTCATTCTGCACATGCTCAGTTTGGTGTGCATTGCTAGAGTTTTTTTATTTTTCTTGGGAGCCTGCATGTGATCAGCACAGGGCCAATCAGCACTGTCCAGACAGAGGTCAGGGGTTCTGCATGCTCGGCTGGACACTGATAGAAGTCACAAGACTGCTCTAACTGCTGATGAGAAAGGTATTTAGCAGTTTATATTTACTAAAATATTTTCACTTCCATGTTCTGTGTACTGTGGAGAGACCAGATATAGTGAATGCAGGGTCCTGGGTTTAGTAGTTTAATTTGGTTTCTTCTTGAAATCACAGTCTGGGCATTATTCATTCAAATACTTATACTTATACTTGAATATATTAGTAAGGGATATATGTATATTTAACCTCCCTAGCGGTATGATTATTTCAGATTTTTGGTGCTGAAAGCGGTACCATTATTTTGCATGGAAATATGTAGTTTTTTTATTGTAGGCTGTAATTTTTAGGAATAACTCACTGAAATCTGTCCGAACAAGAGTCTATCCCGGGTATGATAAAATTTGAAACACAAAATCATAAATTATAATTTAATAAATAATCATATAAAAATAATAATATAATAATAATACATTTAATTCAATAATATAATCAAACCAAAAACACTGAAATTTGAAATAGAGCGCCAAGTTCGCACATCACGGAGCAAAGTCGCAAAATCGTTTTCAGTGTCTGATGACGAATTTCCCCACGAATCATTATCACTCAATTCTGCAAGTAGTTCTGATTTACTATCGCTGTTCTCTAGCTGATCTAAACCCGCTTTTGACCTAAAGGGACACTTTTTGGACGCCATGGACTTTTCTCAGTTTCCAGGCAGAAAGAACAGACAAAATGCAGGCAGGGCACAGGACAAAGCACTAGGGACAAAATGTATGTGAAATGGGTTGAAACAGCAATGTTTTACCATGTAAAATTTGTTTGGAAAAAAATGTCATTTTTTTTAATTTTAAAATTTCCCGCCGCGGCCGGCGCCCGTACGTCCCGACGTCACAGGGACCGGAACACAGAAGCCGGATGCTGGCATCGGCCGGAGGAGATGGCTGGGGACGCTGCAGGGGACACATCGCGGGAGCGCAGGACAAGGTAAGCTCTGCAGAGAATCCCTATGCAGCGCCGCATGGTAAGCCCGAGTGTAGCTCGGGGGTTACCGCTTTTGGTACTGACATTTTACCCCAAGCTACACTCGGGAATACCGCTAGGGAGGTTAATGTGATTTGAAAAGTAGATTAGTCATGTTGAAATCATCATGTCTTTTATACTGTATGTCTTCCATTTTATGTAGAATTGTCTTTGTATGTAACTATGCTAAATCAGCATATCCACAATTAAGCTACAAGGCCATTCTGGCCACAGGATCTGAGTGTACAGCCAATTATTCTGTAAATATTTCTCATCAATCATTTGGTTTTTTTTTAATGCAAGTTTAAGTTCATATAAAAGGACATTCTGCAATGATATATAACACACATAACCTGAAATATACATTAAGAAAACAGAAACCACCTCTCGTTTCTCTGTGTTGAATATGAGTACCATTGAAAATTAGTTCTGTATGTAAAACAGCCTGCACATTGCCTCTAATAGCACATTCTAACATTAGTTTTACCTGAAATAATTACATGACACATGGGGCGGAGCTTTTCCTAACGGATGTCATTATTCAGGTGTGCCAAGGGCAACATGACACCTAAATATAGAAGGAAGGAAGTGATTCATCAGTTTAGTTGAACCACAAGGCCTCACCTTACATGAACGATAGATTTATGAAACAGTTTTACTACAAAATTACAGTCTGATTCATAATTTGACCCTCTGCTGATTAAAGTATTGCTACTTCAATATGCCACAAAGCCTCGATCATTTCTAAGGTGTGCATGGGTTTTAAAAAGTTAGTTGACCTTTATGGCATCCTGGGGGCATGGTGTAGTCACATTAAATTCTCAGACATTAAAGTGTAAACCCAGGACCCTGCATTCACTATATCTAGTCTTCCACAGTACTCAAAACATAGAAATGCAATTATTTTAGTAAATATAAACTTTTTTCATCCACAGTATATAGCAGTCTTGTGACTTCTATCAGTGTCCAGCCCCGCACTGCTTAACCTCCCGAGCGGTATGATTATTTCAGATTTTTGGTGCTGAAAGCAGTACCATTTTTTTGCATGGAAATATGTATTTTTTTTTATTGTAGGCCTGTAATTTAGGAATAACTCACTGAAATCTGTCCGAACAAGAGTCTATTAAACATCCCGGGTATGATAAAACTTGAAACGCAAAATCATAAATTATAATTTAATAAATAATCATAAAAAATAATAATATAATGATAATAAATTTAATTAAATAATATAATCAAACCAAAAACACTGAAATTTGAAATATAGCGCCAAGTTCGCACATCACTGAGCAAAGTCGCAGAATCGTTTTCAGTGTCTGATGACGAATTTCCCCACAAATCATTATCACTCAATTCTGCAAGTGGTTCTGATTTACTATCGCTGTTCTCTAGCCGGTCTAAGACCGCTTTTGAAATAAAGGGGACGCTTTTTGGACGCCATGGACTTTTCTAAGTTTCCAGGCAGAAAGAACAGTCAAAATGCAGGCAGGGGACAGGACAAAGCAGTAGAGACAAAATGTATGTGAAATGTTTTGAAACAGCAATGTTTTACTATGTAATAATCCTTTTTAAAAAAATGAAATTTTTTTAAAAATTTCAAATTTGCCCATACGTCCCGACGTCACAGGGACCGGAACACGGAAGCCGGATGCTGGCATCGGCCGGAGGAGATGGCCGGGAACACTGCAGGGGACGCATCGTGGGAGAGAAGGACAAGGTAAGCGCTGCAGGGACTCCCTATGCAACGCTCCATGGTAAGCCCAAGTGTAGCTCGGGGTTACCGCTTTTGGTACTGAAACTTTACCCCGAGCTACACTCGGGAATACCGCCAGGGAGGTTAATCTTGTGGAGGAGTTTTCATTTTCCTCTGACTGACCTATGAGGCTGCATAACCCCTGACCCTCTGTCCGGACAGCGCTGATTCCCCTTGTGCCGATCACATGCTCCCTCCTAAAAAAAAAAAAAAAAAAACCTCTCTGGCATACACATCAAACAGAGCACGTGCAGACTTACCACTGCTGCTTTAACTATGGCAGATTGGGGGCAAAAAAAGAAGGGGGGCAGTGCTCCATTAAAACAACCTGCATCTAACGTAGGAAGGTCTTTACAAAGCTTTTTTACACATGTGCCAGATCGAAGTACTTCTTGTTACCAGCACTTTCAGAATCTGGCGCTATGACTGTTATTCTAGAAGAATTGGCTATAATTAAGACCAACTCTGATTTTACATACAGAGAAATGTCAGCGGGACATGTATGTACTGGGAAGTTGTCAAGAATAAGGCAAGTATTTTAATTACATTTTTTCTCCCCAAAAGGTGTTGTTTTTATTTTTATTTACAGCTGTAGTGCTTCCTCCAGTGAAGGCGCTGAATTTTTTTGTAATTTCTCTGCATGCCTGAAGGTGACACATCTTGCCCACCCAGCACTTACCAGCACAGCTTGAGGTATTTCAAAGAATTTATTAGGTCAAGCATAGTCTAAAGAAGAGAGGATTAGCAAGTGTACTTATACAAACAACCAATAAGACAACAACATTACTCTAAAAGATTTGGTTAACAACCTGTAGTATTCTGACTAACAGTAATTAACAGAACTGAACTGCATTTATATAGCAACAGGATATAAAGTCAGTCCTATCTCACTACAACAGTTCCAGTTTTGTCCCCTTGGCTAGTGATTTATGAAAAAAAATAGCCAGCAAAGTTGGGGCCCTTGAAGAAAGCACAACAGTTCTCAGCAGATAACAGATTGACTTGTATTGTTATTTATTATTATTATTTATTACAGGTACTTATATAGTGCTGTCAATTACGCAGCGCTTTAAATATATTGTACATTCACATCCAGAGGCGGACTGACCATTTGGAAACTCGAGCACTGCCCGAGGGCCCGGGGTCAGTAGGGGCCCCATGAGATGCCCCTGGTACCTTTTTCATAGGCTTTTGTGAGTTTGGGCAAGGACACAGGGGCCCCATGATCCCCTATTGCCCGGGGGCCCCATGAGTTGTCAGTCCGCCCCTGTTCACATCAGTCCCTAACCCTCAAGGAGTGTACAATCTAAGGTCCCTAACTTACATTCATACATACACATACAGGATCCAATTAACCTACTAGCATGTCCACATTATAAATAATAATACAAGTCAATCTGTTTTCTTCTGAGAACTGTTGTGCTTTCTTCAAGGGCCCCAAATAGTGTAAGAGGAAACTGGAGAACCTGGAGGAAACCCACGCAGGCACAGGGAGAACATGCAAACTCCAGGCAGGTGGTGCCATGGTTGGGATTCAAACCAATGACCCTAGTACTGCCAGGCGGAAGTGCTAACAATTTAGCTACTGTGCTGCCCATGATGTTAGTCTCTCACTACTCCCAGGACACCCTCTTCTGGGTCTCCAGACACATGTTCTGATTCAGTAATAGTCCAGTTCAAGTCAGACAGGGATAGAAGTTGCTCATGATCTCTCTCATGATGAGACAGTCCCTATTTTCCTTCCTTACAAGTGGTGGTAGTGCTCTCTGGTACAGTCTGATCTCACCAGGCATCCAAATCACACCCTCCCACTGAGATGGTTCTCACTTTCTTTGCTTCTTTAAGTTACCACTTGATTGTGATGAGCTATAGCAAGGAGGCATTCATCCTGCAGCAGCTCAGTCTCTTTAACACACCCCTGCTTACTTCCAGGACCGTCACCTCACACATATTACTGCACAGATTATGATGGCAGCAGCAGTCTCTGAAGAGCTCTCTACTCCTGGTAAGCACATCATCAGGTAGCTCCAGCAAACTCTGTCCTCACAGCACTATTCCCCCTTCACTGCCACCTTGTGATGCTCTGTCTCAGATGCTTAGCACAGGAAAATGATTGCAGCAGCACACGGTGCCCACAGTGGTTGCATTCTGTAGGCTGGTACCACAACAGAGTTCCCTTTCTCCAGCAGCCCTGTTCACTGTCCCCTTGCTCTGTTGCATCCACCGACTGTCCTCCAGACCTACCCAAGATGGCTGCCTTCTGCACTGGAAACACTTCATAGATGAGCATTATAAAGAGGTCTCCCTAAAGATGGCTGCTGTACTTCTGCATTAATGAATATTCAGTTTAACCCTGTTCACACAGCAGAAGGAGAATACAGCAACAAAGGAAGAAAAAAAAGCAGGTATCAGCTACAGTCCACGTTATACACCTTTTTTTGAGATGAATAAGAGAGGTCTAACAAAATAAGTGGGCCTTGCAAATTTGCTACATGGTCCACTATAACTGCTTGCCCTCCTGACGATTTATCCCCCTTCCTGACCAGGTCATTTTTTGCGTGACAGTGCTGTGTTACTTTAATTCACAATTGCGCAGTCATGCAACGCTGCACCCAAATTAAATTTGTTTTTTTTTTTTCCCCTTTCTTTCAGTGGTATTTAATTGCCTGTGCATTTTTTATTTTTTGAGCTATAAAAAAAAGACCAACAATTTTGAGAAAACAATATTTTTAACTTTTTGCTATTAAACATGTCCAATAAAAAAATGTAAAAAATCAAATTTCATCATAAATTTAGGTCAAAATGTATTCTGCTACATGTCTTTGCTAAAAAAAAATCCCAATACATGTAAATTAATTGCTTTATGTGAAAGTTATAGCGTTTACAAATGGAGGTATAGATACTGGAATTTTTTTTTTTTTTTTTTTTTTACTAATAATGGCGGTGATCAGTGACTTATAGCGGGACTACGGAGAGCATTCTGACACTGAAGGGAACTGACTTGGTGTCATTGACATCCCCAGTGACACAAATACAGTGTTTAGTGCTAAAAAAAAAATCACTGACACTGTACTAATGGCACTGGGCAGGAAGGGGTTAACATGAGGGGCGATCAAAGGGCTAACTGTGCGCTGGGAGTGTTTTTACTGGGGGGCAGGTGGACAGGGAGCCCAAGCCGACAGGGAGGAGGACTGTTAGTAAACAAAGCAACCCTCCTCCCTGTCGGAGATCCTCAGTAATCACCGGGCGCCGGAGGTTAATCACCGTCCGGGACCCGGTGATTGACGGCCACAAATGGCTGTTCGCGCACCCCCTACCCGGAAATGCAAAATCACGTATATATACGTGATTTTGTGCACCCCTGCCGCCCTGTAGCAATATATCTGCTATAGGGTGGTAGGGAAGCGGTTAAAGATGAAAATCTTTTAGAAGACACCTGCACAGAGAGAAATATGTAGGATGTCATTGCTGATCTGAAAATACCAAGATGTCCCTGGCTTTGATATTTTCTGAGTTACTGACCTGGAATAAGCATACAGACAGTGAAGTCATCCTGAATGATTCTTTATTTATTTCAGATACATATATAGCACCATCAATTTACAAATTTATACAGCACTTTACAGATATATATATATTACGCTCACATCAGTCCCTGCCCTCAAGGAGCGTACAATCTAAGGTCCCTAACTCACATCCATACATACATACACATACTAGGGTCAATTTAGACAGGATCCAATTAACCTACCAGCATGTCTTTGCAGAGGAAACCAGAGAATTGCCATGCAGGCACAGGGAGAACATGCAGACTCCAGGCAGGTAATGCCGTGCTTGATCATACAGTGAAGTCATCCTGAATGCTTCTACCAGCATGTCTTTGCAGAGGAAACCAGAGAATTGCCATGCAGGCACAGGGAGAACATGCAGACTGCAGACAGGTAATGCCGTGGTTGAGATTCAAACCAACGGCATGAGTGCTGCTAGGATGAAGTGCTAACCACTTTAGACACTGTGCTGTCCAATTTGCTTTGAATGAATTATTCAGAAACCACTAGTGTCATAGGGTTAGCAGGAAAGCAAGGCACCCAACATGTTCAGAAAGGAAGCATACATGTTTAATTTCAGGATCCTTTTGTAACTTACTGAAATGTTATTACTTACAATATAAAATGGATATAAAATGGCGGTGGTCTGCCATTCAGGATCACTCACAAGAACAGAACAGCCCTCTGGAACTTGTATGCTGAATAGCAGGCTCAGTTGGTAGGCAGGGCAGTCAGGGACTAGATTTCCCAGGAAGGATAGCGTTTGGGCAGGGGCATATAAATATCAAAAACCCGGGAGAGTAACAGGGGAGTGTGGGAAGAGACTTAAAGAGAAGTAGCTGTGCTGACGGCTGAAGTGCTGAACTAGGCTGCTGAGCCAGAGTTGAAGAGAAAGGAAGAGCGGAAAGAGCCTTCTGACCACCCATTCTGCCACGCTGCTGAGCAGGCCAATCTGACAGCAGGAGACCAGACGTGACGCCAAGTCTGAGCCAAAGAGTTTGTTCACTGACCCCATTTGCAGAGAAAGACAGACCGCTATGATCTGCTGTACTAACTTGATTAGGTGAGAGAGAGACCCATGCACCCGCTAACCAAGTGAATACTGACAGTTTGCCACCTCAGCTATCTACCGACACATATTTGTGAACATTACATACAGTTGCCTCAGTTTGCGGCCTACTTCTCACAGCTGCCATCATTGAGATACATCTACATTACAATTTATTGTACAAGCTGATCGCAGGACATACAGTTGCAGGCCAGGATACAGCAGCGCCAACTGAGACAAGTTTCTCTTCTTCAACAAAGCAGGTTTCCTATTACTGTTCATTTTTGCCTTTGAGGTACAGAGGGAACTTTCTTTGTCTATAGACATTTATGCCAATTGTTGCTATTCATTACTTCACTTCAGTCCTGTCCCATGTTTAGTGCTTTAAAGGGGACCCCACCCTAATTCGCTACCATCAAGAAGAAAAGTGTTAAACCTCCCTTGTTCCT